TATTTATTTGAGAGAGAGCACAAGCAGCAGGGGTGGGGGGGGCAGGGGGAGAGGGAGAAGCAGACTCCCCGCTGAGCAGGGAGCCCAACACAGGGCTTGATCCCAGGACCCTGAGATCATGACCTGAGCCAAAGGCAGATGCTTAGCTGACTGAGCCACACAGGCGCCCCGACTTCCAGATTTTTCTGATAATGGTTCAGGTTCAAGAGCCCCTGGCTCAGAGCATCCACATCTCCCCTCCACACACCACCAGGGTTTCCTTAAAACAGTGGCTTGGGAAAGCTTTGAGAATCAAAGATATATATGGCAACTGTTGAAAAGCCACTAATGACTCCAAATGTAATGGGTTGGAAGAACAAAAGAGAGAAGGCGAAGTTGTAACTTAGTTGTTCTCCCGTTCATGGAGGGCTTTCATGTGGATGATAGTCATCAAAGGAGCTACAGGATCCCGGAGGACGGAGACAGGTGGGAAGGGCTTAGATGATAGCTATAGAATAGTCATTCCTTTGAGTAAGGGTTAAGTCGTAGAACAGGTTTTGGATATGGATCATTTAATTTAAATGCAGGCTCTCCTACTAGACACTGTGAGGGGGCTGCAAAAGAAAGGCACGGCAAGGTTTCTTTCATCAAGGAGCTTATAAACTTTTTGAACCTTCAAGACTTAAGTAAATCCAGTGGAGTATAGAAAGGCAGTATAATGGAGTGCTGAATTGAAAAGGACCTTGAGGCAAAATGTGTGGTCGAGACTGTAAGTGCTGTGGGCATTCAGGGGAAGAAATTGGTATTGCGTCATTTTCTTCTCCGGACCAGAGGATGAAACGGTCAGCCTGGTAACATTTCCCAAGTCTGATGGCGGGGGTAGTGGCCGCTTGGATTCAAGAAGACCTTTTTCCTGCTCTCTCTTTTCTTTCCCAGTTTGCTAAAGTTTGTCAAAACCGCGATGTCAAAGCGAGGAGTTGTGTTTCGGGACTTTGAACTTGAAGTATTATTAATGTCTTTGGTTATATGAGAAACCTGTAGGGGAAATTACATTTTGTCCTGGATGTCTTTAGATGGGGACAAGACTCAAGTAGAAGTTTGGCGTATTTGTTTCAGACAGACTTTCAGACTTACTTCATTCGCGGGGAGGACATGAATGAACCTGTCTGAGGATGCCTTTCTTTTGTAGGATGAAGAAAGCGAGTTAGCTGATTTTCCTTAGCGGAAGGATTACATTGTATCAGATCGGGGATGATAGGGAACAAGAAAACACTTCAGATGAACGCAACATTTCCATTGCTTTTTATTGCTTTGCACCATGCTGCTTGCCTGGGTCAATAAACAGGTAACCAAAGCGAGAACCAAATGAGAAGGCTCCCAGGACAGGGACATAAAGGCTGCTTGGAGTCCAAGAGAAAAATAATAAAAACATCTTAATAGTAAAGAGGAAGCCAGCAAATTTGGATCCTACTGCAAGGCACTAGGAAGATTTTTTTTGCAGAAGTTTACATGTAATGTGATCTGTTTTTAGCCCTTTGGGGGGGTGGGGGAGGGTTTTCTTAACTCCAGCTGTGGCTTGCAGGTGTTAACAGAGAGCTTCCTTTTCTTTCACCGTGATGACGGGGTGACGTGAGATGCATTAGGAAAGCAGGGGCTTCCTCTCCTGTCATATCAAGTATAATACCTGCATCGAACCGTGCTCCTCTAGCAGAAATTACTAGTGTTTGTTGTGCTGATGTTCTGGCAATTGGGAAGAAGAATCCTCTCTTATTTCAAGGTATTGAGAACAGCTGTGTGGCCCATTTCTTGATAAAGGAGACCCAGTTGAAATGGGCAGGAAGAAAAAAAAAAGAAGATAAAATACCAGAAACTAGTTGTACACGTCCAATCAGATCACATCACACAGAGGCTGTGTTCTCTACCTGCCGAACTTCTCTCACTTGGTCATTTTGTAAGAAAAGCCTTCTGAAGCCCCTCCTTGGGAGTGTGGTCCTCCCAATAGAATCGCAAATCACAATGTTTCTTTTTCCTTCCTAATGCCTATCCGATTTGCAAATTTCACACATGGACTACAAATGGTATACACTGATTTGGTCTCGTCTGCTCCTCTTGATGCAGTGAGCTCCTTAAAGGCCTGGTCCTTGGCTGTTTTGTTCACCATTATGAACATAGAACCTGGTGAATATAGGAAGCCCCAAGTAAAAATTTGTCCAGTGAATGAATGAATGAATGAATGAATGAATGAATATGAAAGCACTTTGTATAGCTGAAACTAATATAATGTTGTCTCTCAATTATACCTCAATAAAAAAAAGAAGAAAGCACTTTGTAAACTGTATTCACTGTAAAAGCCCTGGTTAACTATATTCGTAGCAGATTCCTCCTTTCTTCCTTTGGTCCTAATTTTCTTCTCTCCGTTCTAATTTTCTTCTCTCCGTTTTTCAGTTATTTTGAGGTATACTTGTCAGTGTCTTACCAATTCCAAATCGAAGATTTGCTGTTATTCATTTTTGCGGGGTTTTTTTTGGAGATCAGGACCACATTTTCCCCTCGAAAACAGGGTTACACCCACAGTGCTAGTCCTGAGCCTCCCACCTTTGTTGGGCATGTGCTTTGCGGCTTTGAAAGGGAACTCATGGATGACTTGTTTGGGAAGCAAACAGGGCACTAGCGTAGCACTTATATTCTGTGTTTCTCACCATCCCCAAAGCCCGTCACGTAAGTTCCCATACCCCAAGCATGCTCCTCAAGAACACACGAGTCGAAATAACTTGATCATGTTGGCCCAGGCAGGGCTGTTCCTGGCTCTGTCTTCAAGGAGGGGGAAAAAAAAAATCAAGAAATCCAGGTGTGGAAAATATTAAGGATCAGGATATGAATAGGGCTTTTCTTTAAAAGCAACAAACAAACACAAAGTCCTCCAGTCCTCTCCAGCAGGGCCTCGTGTGCCACTTATGTGTGTATGGAAGTGTTATCCTCGGTGGGCGGGATCGGCAGACAGCCAAGTGGAAAATTTCACAGCCCTGCAAACCTCCAGTGCACTAAACACTGTCACCCAGCCATCGGAGGGGACCGTACGGCAGGGACCAAAGAACAATTCTCCTGCACAGGCCTCTGTCACCCACCTTCCACGCCCCCCCCCTTTGCTTCCCGCTCTGATCCAGGTCTTTACTTGCTTTCTCCCTGAGCTTCCAGAAGGCTCTGTTTCCGGTCCTGGGCTGCCCCGGACCCCTCAGTGCAAGGGAAGTTTCAGCAGTGCAGCCCATGCAGACTTTTTTTTTGCACGTTTGGGTGCCCCAGGGAGAGTGGACGGTTGGTGGCTAGCCAAAGCTGGCTTTTAAATTCTGGCTCAGAGCTCAGTAACAGGCTTATGACCACTAATAATACTTGGCGTTTACATAGTGCCTTTCTTCTCGGGAACTGTGAGTACTTTGCAAGAGTGATCTTATTGATCTTCCCAACAACCCAGTGAGGTATGAAAATGGCAAGAGGTGATCGTCCTAGCTCCCTCCCTTTTGCAGAGAGTAAAATCAGGTGGCGTGTTATGAGACTGTGTTGCAAGTTGACATCTCAGCTGGGATTACATCAGGAGTCCCCCAGAATTGGCTTCAACTTTATGGGTGTGTGGGGAGTGGGGGGGAAGGGTGGGGAGGGACGGGGGGCGGGGGAAAGGCTGACCGGGCGACGCCGTGTCTCCTGGGGCGGGAGCAAAAATACTACATTCCTTTTTTTTTTTTAAAGGAAAGGGTGCTGGAAAATGGTCTTTGGCGAGTTATCAAATCCGTGAGACTTCATTTGTTGAGATAACAGAGTGATTGGATGAGGCATTTACCTTTTCCTTTTTCTTCTCTCCGATTCCCACGCTAGGGATTTCTCACTCCTCTGGAAGGAAGAAAGAACACGCCTGAGCCCAGGAGCGCTCCAGCTTCTTGTGGGAAGTCTCCATGGTGAAGGCTAAGCCAGGGCTACCTGCGAACAGCGCGCAGTGAATGTCGTAAGTTAACGAGCAGCATCTGCGGCGGCTTGCCTTGCAAGGATCTGTGAATCATGGCATGTCACCGAGCCAGGGCGATGAAGGGGCATTCGCATGAGTTCTAAGTGATCGTCCAATTAATTTCTTTTTTTAGAGGAGAGATTCTGTTTTTATCTGCCGTGAACTTGCCTTCGTGGGGCACTGCTCATTATCTACTTCTGGTAGAAAAGAGTGGAAGACAGTGATTCTTTTCACTGTTAGAGCACTCGTCTCCTGGGACACTGACACAGTACCCAGTGTAGAGCAGACTCTTTCAACTGGGCTGTCGAAGTTCATTTAGGTTTGGGGGGTAGTGGGTAAAATTCTCCGGGCGAAGGATTAGCAACGAGAATTGGCACCCAGCAAATATTTTTATTTATGTGAAGTTTGTTGTTGTTGTTGTTGTTGTCGGTTGGTTTGTTCTTGGAATGAATTTTTTTTCCCTGGCTTTCAAAAATCTGAGGTATGCAAATATAGTCAATTACTTTGGGTGCTTGTCTTATTCAAAACTGGAGGACTTACTGGTTTTTATCAGGTTGCAAGGTCAAGGCTTTGGGATCAGTAAAGTATCAGCTGCAGGTTGCTTTTCATGAGGAACTTTGGTATCAAGTAGTTGAAGAGATGGAGCGCACTCTGGGTTGCCAGGAGCTTATCTGCCACAGAATTTAGGAATCGGACCAACTCTGTTGCTTACTGGAGATTTTAACCTCATTGCTAGATTGTGTCCAAAAAAAAAAAAGTTTGTAAGGTTTTGATCAGGAAAGAGTACAGCTGCGGGAAACCCAGGATGGGCCATGAGTGTATTGTCTTCAAGTTTTAGAAAAGTAAGAACCAACTTTGACTAGGACTTGGGGTATGTGTGTGTGCGTGTGCGTGTGTGTGTAAATGCGTGCGTACATTTACATATTTAATATATAGTGTATATTTGTGCATATATTATATATACACAAGTACATATATTTGTGTATATAAATATGTATTATATATATTTTTATATATTATATAAAATTTTAAATAATAAGTTCTTAACTTCTTAACAATTCAGTCAGGAAACTTCTCCAGGGATTTTTAACTTATATTTTTCCAGTTGCACAAATAATTTTGAAAGAGCAAGGTGCATCAATATGAGGGCATATATCAGGGAGAACAAGCATTAATGCTGAAAAGAAAAATTTCCACTGAATATTTTTTGATGTTGTGGTTTTCTAAAAATTTGTATTAAAATATGCATCTTTATCCATATTTCCTCAGGGTTAAATAGTCATATTAAAATAAGCTTATTAAATTTAAAATCTCCCAGTGCCTCATAGTAAATGGTGGGAAACACTGGTGTTTTAATGTGTTTCCATTTTGTGCATATGATCCCATTGGGTCCAGTGGAAATGTGCATACAGCAGCTGGAATCAGCAGACCTGAATTCTGTTCCTGGTCCTACGGTTGAGGTCAAGAAATCTGCAATTTTGACAAGTCACTAACCCCCATCAAGTGTTATTTTGTTAAGTCTATATGTTACTTTTTATTTTATAAATCTGTATGCACAACAAATAACCTGTGAATTGATCAGTTAACATCTTGGTTTGAGGTCCCCCATAAGGGGCACAGTACAGTGCCCCCATAAGTAAGGCATTTTAATACTTACTAAAAAATAATCTCTCTTGTTGTAAAAGGTTCTGTCACTATTAAGGAATAATTTGGGTCCTAGAGTAGCAGTATATTTTACTAGATATTATTTTCCCAATCAGATGGCTGTTAGAATACACTTCTGGTGATTTCTCTTTTTCTGGTGATGTTTTTTAAAGCATTTTTATCCTAGGAAACAAGTGTCTTATGGAAAAGTGCTTTAGGTTTCAGGTTACATCTAAATGAATAATGCAGATACTGTAATCAAAATAACTTTTGTTTCAAATCTGGTGGTTTTTTTTTTTTAAACCATTGCTTTGAAATGCTCATGTGATGCCCAGTCAAACCCCAAACATTAAATGAGGTTTTCAAAGAAATTCTGAAGTATAAACTTTAAGATGCCACATGGCCTGCTAAAGTAATTTTAAAATCCTTCTGTAAATGGAGTGTGTTGAGAGAAAGGAAGAAAATACGAAATTCTAGTGAACTTCTTCAGTGCTGAGGACTTCCTCTTGCAAATTGCATTTGCTTGGTGGGGGGGGTTGGGGAGGGTCCCGATTTTCTCAGCAAGTTGTGAAATTAGTAATCTTAGTCATTAGTAATCTTTTGGGATCTTGGTGCATTTTTACATTGAGTTCATACTTCGGTGTCCTTCGTGTCCCAAAGCCAGTGCCATGATGATAGGGAAAGCAGGAGATTTTCAAAGAACGTGTGCTTGCAAATGGGGTAGGAATGTGGATATATAAATATTTGAGTAACCATCCTAGCAGCCATTGGAATGAGCGGCTTCTGTCCTCAGCATTCCTCGCAGACTGCACCCCAAACTTATTGCCTCTGCGGGACCCCTCTGCCGGTCCCTGTTAGCTACCTCTCCGATATGCCACCAGCATTCTAGCAGATGAGATGAAAAGGGTGGTAATGAAATTTTACCTACGAGTCAGGAGACCTGGGTTTTGCACATGATGTTGCACTTAATCTTGGAAACTGGGAACCCCTAAAGCTCCATGGACGCGATTTATGAGGAGTAACATGAGAACATTGAGTTAAGTGACCTTTGGTGGTTCTCCTTGCTCGATGTGTCACATTGCAGAATGTGCCAGCTTGGATGAGGCAGGTTGGACCTTCATTTTAGCCCGTTTGTCTTCTAAAAGTCAATGATTTGGCACAACTTCAATTTACTACAACTGCTTTTAAAATATTGAGTGCAGGGCACCTGGGTGGCTCAGTTGGTTAAGCGACTGCCTTTGGCTCGGGTCATGATCCTGGAGTCTCGGGATCGAGTCCCACATCGGGCTCCCTGCTCAGTGGGGGGGGTCTGCTTTCTCCCTCTGACCCTCTTCCCTCTCGTGCTTTCTGTCTCTCATTCTCTCTCTCAAATAAATAAATAAAATCTTAAAAAAATAAAATAAAATATTGAGTGCAGTCTTATGCTTATATATATGTTATGTCTATCACCGTTGCGATACGCACCCTCCTGGATAGCATGGCAACTCAAAGGTGTTCATTTGAGTGCTTTCTAAGAATATAGTTTTAGTCATTTAAATTTAGGGTCCACCTGGGGCGCCTGGGTGGCTCAGTCGTTAAGCGTCTGCCTTCGGCTCAGGTCATGATCCCGGGGTCCTGGGATCGAGCCCCGCCTCGGGCTTCCTGCTCCGCAGGAATTCTGCTTCTCCCTTTCCCACACCCCCTGCTTGTGTTCCCTCTCTCACTGTGTCTCTCTCTGTCAAATAAATAAAATCTTAAAAAAACAAAATTAGGGTCCACCCATTGGTCTTTTTGAAAATTAAATATGAGCCGCTTTTGAAATTAAGTTTTTAAAAACCGTCTACCTCCACATTCAAATATTGCTTAGCATAGGGGTGCCTGGGTGGCTCGGTCAGTTAAGCATCCAACTCTTGATTTCAGCTCAGGTCATGATCTCAGGGTCGTGAGATTGAGCCCCGCATCGGGCTTTGCGTTGGGCATGGAACCTGCTTAAGATTCTCTCTCTCCCTCTGCCCCTCCCTCTCCCCCTTCTCTAAATATATGCATGGAGGCAATGATCTATATTTCTTTCTTAAGCTTCTCAGCCTCCTTAAGTAGGACTTCCCAGGTTACCTTTTCAAAGCAGCCTCTCCTGACCCATGTAAAAGAGCAGCCACCCCATTCCTCTGTGCCTGCTAGCATACTTCATTTTCCTTTTAAGCATCTTATATATTATATATTTATTTGTTAATCGTTTATCCCCTCAACTAGACTGTAAGCCTCATGAAAAGCAGGCATTTATTATTATTATTATTATTATTACCAGCTGAATCTACAACACCTAAAATGCTGTTTGGCCTATAATGGGCACTCAGTAAGTAGTTGTTGAGTGAATGTCCAAGGAGAATGTTAGTGTATGTCCAGGCTTCTCATGTGTGGTGGGCTAACCGAAAGGAATATAAACACGGTTCTGATGAGACCTGCTTGAATCCGATAGCAGTGTGATCAGGTAGGGGATGGCGTGGAGAGACCCATCTAGTTTCTTTTACTTAGAAGTTGATACCTAATATCTACAACGTGTATAAGTAAATGTGGGAAAGGAAACAATTTGTTTTAAAAAATGTTTTATAGAACTATCAATAGAGTATGGGGATTTTCTGATACTTTTAAAAAAAAATCCTGCCCTGTGTGTATTTCCTCTCCCGTTCCATTTGAGTGGTTTGCTTTATCAGTCATTTCTCAGCAGCCAACTCTAGCATTCTGTGAACGGAGGCGGCTTGGTCTCTCCCCATCACATCATTTCATCGCCCCTGAGAGCGGGAGCCAGGCTTGAGGTGTGCTAGCTCCCGAGAAAGAAACTCACCATTTACTGAATGGCATCATTTATCCCGTCTTCTGGATGCTGAACAATTTGGAACAAAGAAATGGTATGCCGACACAAATTAAGCCCATCCAATGTCTCCCGTGGTGTAAGGGAGGGCATTCACAAAGGCTTTCTTTCCTTTTTTTTTTTTTTTTTAAGATTTTATTTATTTATTTGTCAGAGAGAGAGAGAGAACACAAACAGGGGGAGTGGCAGGCAGAGGGAGAGGGAGAAGCAGGCTCCCTGCTGAGCAGGGAGCCCAATGTGGGACTCGATTCTAGGACCCTGGGATCATGACCTGATCTGAAGGCAGACGCTTAACTGACTGAGCCACCCAAGCGCCCCTCACAAAGGCTTTCTTAAGGTGGCATCCTCCTGCGTTGCTTTTGAGGATGGCAAGAATAACGGTTTCTTGGATTTTGTGTGTTCATGGACCCCTCCTTTTCAGAGGAACCGCTCTGAATGCAGGAGTTACATTTTTCCTAGGAAGAAACTGGATGACCAGGATACACACCTCTGTGCCTATTTATACAGC